GTTCATAAAAAGGAATCCAGTGTAGCTTATTAAATAGCGCTACCGATGATGATTGGCGGTCTGCGCGCTTTTATAACTTTAAAACTCTATTAATAACTCCTTGTCGGACGATGACCAGATAACACTCACATAACTCAATACCATACCGGGCGAATAATAGCATTATAGTATAGTGGGCGTTGAAATAACGGCAAAAATACTCTAATTTTACGTAATACAGTTATCCGCGAAGAAAGCCTCTTACAAATCGTTTCGACTTGCAAACTAAAAGAAAGTATGTTGTCAATCGAATTTCTGAACCCAAAAGGGTAGCACTGTTTACAATTTTGAGGGTTTTTACTCCATCTGTGGTAACATTCAGCAGATTGCAAAGTCTGGGTGCAAGTCTTTTCCCGGTAATCATCAAGACCTTCGTCTTTTCTTCGTTTAATGGTAGCTTATTTGCATTAGCCCAAAGCTGAATTTCACTTACAGATGTGTTCAGAGAAAGTTCTAGTTGTAATATGTTCCTGAAATCCGGAGAAGTTGTATTTTTTGTATCATCAGCGCAAAGATCAATTTGAGAGCTGACGTGTAAAGGTAGATCATTAATGAATAGAATAAAGAACAAAGGGCCCAAAATACTGCCTTGAGGAACTGGGTTAACTAGAGACTCGCACGATTCTGCTCCGCCTAAATGAACTGCTTGTTTTCTACTAGACAAATAAGAACGACACCAACTAAGCTCTTGATTTACTGCACTATAAGCGTCCAACTTCTTCAGTGGAAGTTCGTGATGGACCATGTCAAACACTTTTGCTTATGTATTTGTATCAAGGCCGGTACTTGTTCACTGAAAGGAAAACTTCGTTTTTAACCTTATGTACGACAAATATAGATTACGTATATGAGAACGATCCTTCGCAGTAAAGCACTATTAGCTTACTGCGAAGGATCGTTCTCATATACGTCTCATAACCGCAGTTCACACATATGTTTCATATGTTTGTTGTTGTTAAATATAGATTAATTCGATGGCGTTTTCTTTGTTCGCAATTTGGAAACCAGCGTGGAGTGAACTGCCAAGTCTGTTTTTTTCCTGACAAAATAGTGCCATTTCTTTCTTCTTCGGACCTATTTTTTTCCTTTTTTTTGCCTAGAGACTCCTCTCTAATTTTTATCTGTTTTTTATTCGTGAGAAAAGACTTTCCGCTAGCAGAGAACTCCACGTGTGAATTTTGTCAAGTGCGCAGTGTAAATGCAATCAAAATGAAATTGCCGCAAATATTTCCTCAGGAGGTTCGCCTATTTTCGAGACCAGGACACCTTTGTGATTTCTTAACTTCTATTTTAAAATACGCTTTCTTAAATAAATTGAGATTTTTAAATTTTACTTTTGTAAACATTGAGTAAAATGTCTAACTTCAATCCAGTCCAATAAAAGAAAAATGATTTCAGTTCGGCCCCTGAAGTGTAAAGACAATATGCAATTAACATGAAATTTCCGCAAATATTCCCCCAGGAGGTTCGCCCATTTACGAGACTAGGACACCTCCCTGATTTGTTAACTTTTAGTATTTACACACTCAGTGATCTTGGCCTTTCAAGCAATCTGATTGGTTCGCTATCTCGGGCTAATCAACAATGTATACCTCCGAGCGAGTGGATAATGGGGAAAACAAAATGGCGGGCGTAAACTCGCGTTTCGCTAAAGTTTCAGAAGCAGAAATTGCCTTTAAATGGCTTCCTTTTAATTTTGTCGAGATCACTTCGTGTGTATATACTAAAACAATTATTATTTTCATTCTCGGTGAATAGTGGCTTTCGGGAATGTTTACCTCGCCACTTCGCGGCTCGATAAATATTTAGCCACTATTCACCTTGATTTCAAAGAATAATTGTTAATTATTTGAAAATACGTTGTCCTTAATAAATCAGACGCTTTTTGAGATTTTTAAATTTTTCTTTTGCAAACGTTGGGTAAAATGTCCAACTTCAATCTAGTCCAATAAAAGAAAAACGATTTTTTTCGGCCTCTGACGGTGTGGAGTAACTTTAAATCTCTTAAAAGTATCTCTACTTCGATTCACTTACTTTACGATACACACTGAACTTCTCAACTGGCAACGTTCTCTAAACATTTTGTTTACTCAGCCTGCAAACAGGGCCAAACTAACAAGAAATATTTTTATTAGATTGCCAACCGAGCACAGCTCCAATAAAGAAATCAGGAGAAACTTTCTCCACAAAGAAAGTAATTAGAGTAAGAAGATATGTGATAATTCAAGTCGATCGCGCTTTTGTTCGAGAAGTTGAGCAAACACGAAGCGTCATGGAACAAAAATGGGATCAAATACTACTCCTTGATAAAAAACCAGAGCGAGAATCATTATTGGAAAGTTCAAGTGAAGCGAAACCAAGAATTCCAGTGTGCGTGTATATTTTCACTGCCTTCGCTGCCGTTGGAGGTTTTCTGATGGGATACAACTTCTCGGTCGTTTCTGGTGCAATGATCCTTTTAAAGGAACAGTTTCGTTTGTCGTCATTTTGGCAAGAGCTCATCGTAAGCGTGGCAACAAGTACAGCCATCATAGGTGCGCTCCTCGGAGGAATCTTGAATCAAAGATTTGGGAGAAAACCAATGCTTTTAGCTTGCGCAATGGTGTTTACGATAGGAGCGGTGGTCGAGGCATTTGCTACATCGAGAAATGGTGTACTCATTGGTAGATTCATTATCGGTTTTGGAATAGGTAAGTAAAAGAAAAAATGGTCTTGCGTAAGTGTCCAAATCGCTGTAAATCTTGTGATAAAAAAAATTTCGAAAGTTTAAAAACCAAGAACGACGGCAAATGACACCTTGATCAAAGGCTCCTAAGAGCTACTGCATGGTATTTCTTAATTTTTGTGGCCACTGACTCCTATAGGGGGCGAAGTCACATAGAAGTCGAGATGAGTGAGTAAAAGAGTGAGTGAGTGAGTGTTWACGATAGCATTCTAATCTTGACCCAGTTTGAACCGATGTTGCTCGGTGCTACTTATTGTTTTCTTCGGAATATCTTAGTACTTCGACATTGGCACTCGGTAGACAGTTGAGTTCATACTTTTTGTGATTTCTGGCTTATAGCCACTAGCACATCACGTTTTCAGTTCTTGCCATAAAACTACGGGAGATAGCAGACGATGATATACATCTCACAATCATTTCAGGATTGCGCGAAAACAAATTGAATTAATTTGGGCTTGTCTTGATATTCGGTGGAAATAAATGTACTTTCTTTAATTGTTTGCAGGAGCGGTGTCTAGTACCGCCCCAGTGTATATTTCCGAAATTGCACCATGGCGTATAAGAGGTCGTCTAGTCACCGTCTACTTTCTATTTATGACGGGAGCTGAACTTGTCGCTGCCATTATTGACGGCATCTTTAGCCCTTACAAGAAGACAGGATGGAGGTGGAGAGACATAGAATAGTTTCCCTCGTATAGCAAATATTATCAGCCATGAAAAGTAAAATTAAGATACTCAGGTTTATGTTTTACCTCCATCCATCCACCCATGTTTCCAAATCTGTTACTTAAACTACTCACCCTGAAAGAAGGAGTGTGGGTGCAAACAACGGCAGTCACCCTTGTTCCAACTAATGGAAAAGGCCCTGGGAACGAGGTTGAACGGTTGTAAATAAGATTACTGGCATCACGCAACCTGGCAGTCACACGTCTGATAATTTGCGAATGTTATAATGTTGTCGTGTCCTTTTAGGCTATTAAATCAAGTTACCCTTAATAACCAGTCATGGTATTTTAAAAGCGTATAACTTTTTGATCAGGCTCAAAACAAAATTGTAAACGGGGTTTACCAGAAACCTCATTATGTGGCACTAAGTGAATTGGTCTGGTACTACTCCCTGCGGATGGCATACACCAGTTTTATCAGGTTTCTCCGACAGCTCATTGGTGCCAATGTAAAACTCCTGGTGAACGAAGGCACTAATCTCGTAAAATGTTCAGCAAGCAACCGTGGACGATAATCCTACTCTTGTACGTTGGATCAGCAGTGATCTAATCGGTCCAAAATAATGAATATTAATATAGAGGCAAGACCGATCCAACGTAGATAAGTTTTAAAACGGAGCACTATATTTCGGCTGGCCAAATCAGCCTTCTACAGGTGCAGTGGGAATTGACATAGAATTAAAGTGGTACTTAGATAGTTGTATGATGTAATAGCGGAAATACGATGAACTAATTTGATTGACAATGAGATAATAATTAAAAATAGAAATAGTAAATAAAAAGAGAAGTAAAGGGGGATAAATTGAATAAATTAAATAACTAGAGGTAAGAATGGTTGAAGGAAAAACACTAATACATTTCTTCGCGAGCATTAAGGCCATCGGGATAAATAGTATTGCCTCTTGAAATTAAAAAAGCTTCCTCAAGGCCAGGGAAGTGCTCCGTTTTAAAACTTATCTACGTTGCATCGGTCTTGCCTCTATATTTACTAATCTCGTATCCAGACCTTTCACGGTCAAGCGGACATTTCAGTTACAGTTATACGCCAGGAACTGGGCACGAGACTAGGTGGGCACTGTAAAGGCGAGTAAAGGTTCCTGTGACTAAAAAAATAACATAATGACCCTGTCAAGGCTTGGGTACCCAGCACGGATGCACGTTTCGTAACTTGCCTGGGATAAACTTGGGCAGTACACAGGCTTGTGAGTCAGATTTTACCCCTCTAAAAATTAAAAAATCTTACCATTACTGATGAGTTCCTAATAAAAAACAGTTGACTTAATACCTCATAACCATGTCTAAGACGTATTAAAAAGAAAAATAAACCGACAAATCATATTAAATCATTTTCCCTTCGGTAGATTCATGTTTGGTTTAGCTACAGTCCCATCAGCCATCATGTTCTTGGGTTGTCTGTGGCTTCCAGAAAGTCCCAGTTGGCTTGTCAGCAGGGGTGCCTGTGAAGATGCAAAAGAAGTTCTTGTAAGACTTAGAGGAACAAAAGATGTGAGCGAGGAGCTGCAAGCTCTACAGACCGTTTGTAAAGAAGAAGAATCGCATGATAAGAAAAGTAAGTTTGTCAAATATTGGAGGGTTGGTGTAAAGGAGGATTAGTTGGGTATCCCATTAGCCCTTGCGCGTTATTATCGATGAGAAGGTGTCACATGGCATCGGATTCGAATGCACGCGTTGGAAAGTCGACTGAATTTTAAACGACTGTTTGTCCTTATTCAGGAGCACGGAAGGTGATTTGAACGGTTTTATGTATTCTTGTAACAGTTACGTTGACTTTAGTACTTTAGTACTTGAACTTGCTCGTCTCTAAAGGGAAAAAAAACACCTTTGTTATGAGTGGTATGCACAACTGTGTGGCTTTGTTTATGCGCTTTTTATTAACGCTTGATCGATATTTGCCTGTTGTGCTATTATTGGTGGGTACCTAAGCATATTATTCCGCCTAGTGGTGCCTAAATAATCGCACTTTTCAATATTAGCGAAGGTCCCCTTAAGTCCCCAAATTTTGTAGGAATATGTGGCCGTTGAAAATTGCTTAAATTGGCGCCAAATTTTTGACGTCTTTCGTCGACTGGTGTATCACCCGGCCCGCTTTTGATCGACCAATAGCCTTTGCTACCTGTATGAAATGCCCCTTTCAGTATATCTGTGTAAAAGTTTGCTCCTGAATTAAGGTTAGTATCTTGTGATGGAGTGTTTTCTTTATTTCTTTTGGTAACTCGAGTCGCTTGCAACTTTTTCAGAAGACTGGCTTTTCACGGCGATTTTTCCTTTCGTCGGGTAGCAACTGCAATTACAATATTAATTTGAGACTTGTAAGTCTAGCCAGGGAATTTCTGGGATGTTGTTTTCTCCTTCATATTCGTTATATGGTCGAATATCCAAAGCGGCAAGAGACCAATTTTCGACGCAATCGAAGTCGAAGATTCAGTATAAGCACTGAACGTCTTCGATCTTCGCTTTCATTCTCTAGCTGTTTGGGTAAATTGAAAGAATATCACATTGAGAGGCTTGGAAGTCTCGGACAACAAGCCAAATTGGAAAGTTTGATGTAAGTCTGACTATTCAAATCCAAGCAGTTGACATAAATTAGTGGGGAACGCGAGAGCACTTCGCTGTTGATCTCAACTACCTCCATCTAGACTGAGTGATTACGTGACTAGAGCGAATTGATAATATAGTTCGAAGCGTGGAATTGTGGGATACCTGACTAATCCTCCTTTGGTTGGTGTATTGATTCGTACCTCCACACGAAGCGTAAAGCTCTTTCGAGTGGTACTATTTGAGTTTGATTGCGATGTGATCCCGACACAATCCTGAAGGGGAATCCGAGTTGAAATATCAGGGGGAATATGGCGTCTGCCCATGAAAGATAAATTCTGGGTATACCCTCTGGTGATGAACGATAAATTCTGGATATACCCTCTGGTGTAAAAGAAACACCAACATGGTGATTTTCAGGCATCTACGAACTATTTCGCATTACCGCTTGAGAACTTCTTAAGCTGTATTATCGAGTTCAAGGTAAGTACTGTAGTTTATGGACCGAGTTTTTTACGCTTGGATTTATGGCCCACGTGAAATTGTGCTTTATGCACAAACTAAATATCAGATTATCTTTGAAATAAGCGATATTTAAATAAGTGAATAGTTTATAGTTTAAAATTTTTTATGAACCGTTTTTGCCTTAACTAAAGATTGTAAATTTAAAAGTAGTTCCGTGTGATGTTCCTATTTTGAATTTTATTTTATTTGGAATGTTCTTTTAGTGTCCACATTTAGCTTAGATTTAGCTAAATACTCTGACACTTAAATAAAGTCATTCATTCCACCCCCCAACTAAGGGAAAAGGGGCTGGGAACGAGATCGATACGGTCCACTAAATTGACTAATCCAAATGCGTGTATTAATTGAAAGAAATTATTATGAATTTAACCTCGTTTCGAAGTTAAATCTAAGCGAAAAAAAAGTCGGTCTGTATAAGTGGAGCCCTAGTGTATGAGATCATTGAAATGAAAGGTTGCAATTTTTTTTAGGCAGATTTCATGAGATGTTGACCACTTCAAGTACAAGGAGAGCTCTTTTGGTTGGCTGTATGTTGGTAGCAATGCAAGAGCTGTCTGGGATTAATATTATTGTGTAAGTAAAAATGTTTTATTCACCTTAAGAGTCGAAAGCTTCGATGAAAGATAACTACCCAAGGCCGGTAAAATACGCGCATAGTTTTGACTAGAAACTTATTTAAGGGGGCTTTTGCATAAATTAACCGCGTAAATCATGATTTATCTTGTCAATCGTAAATAATGGAGCGCATCAAAAAATCCTTACCCCCCTCCCCCTTCAACATCAAGACGAAAACGAATTCTTAATAAGGGTGTGCTTTTACAGCTTCTACAGTACAACTATCATACAGATGTCAGGCGTGCAGGACGACCAACTGGTCTTCTGGCTGGCAGTAGCAGTCTATTTTACTCTTTTCGCTTTGACTTTCGTTGGATTGTATCTGGTAGAGAAAATAGGACGCCGTAAGCTACTATTAGGAAGTCTTGCTGGGGTCATTCTTTGTTTGTCTCTACTGGGTGGTGCATTTTACCTGGCGAAGCAACACGATGCTGCCATAACTTTTAACGAGAGAGCGCCTTCTAATATCAGCAACAGATGTCCCGCAACCGGATATTGCTTGGATTGCCTTGGAGTCAGAGAGAAATGTGGATTTTGTTATGCTAAAGACTCAGCTAATAATCCGATGAGCGGTTCGTGCGTTCCAATTAATGTATCTTCTTGTGACAACATGGCGGCGTTTGGTAGATGCGGTCGCAAGGATCATACAGTCACATGGTCGTACCAAGCGTGTCCATACAAGTATGCCTGGCTAGCAACCGTAGCCCTTGTTTTATTTGTCAGCGCGTATGCTCCGGGGATGGGGCCACTGGCATGGACGATAAACTCTGAGATATACCCTCTGTGGGCCCGTAGCACAGCATATGGGTTTGCTTCAGCAGTAAAATGGACTTGTAATGGGTTGCTTTCGATGACTTTTCTCTCTCTAACTGAATGGATTACCAGTTCTGGTGTGTTCTGGCTGTACGGAGGAATGTTGCTTCTAGGGTGGCTGTTTTTCTTTGCTTATCTTCCTGAGACCAAGAATAAATCGCCAGAGGAATTGGAATATTTGTTTTCATAGCATGTAATCATGTTATCGTGAAAAATATGGAACACGTGCGAAGGAACCTTTAGCTAAAACTTAGAGACAGGCTCGAACCTAGGTGCTCCCGGAAATATTGTTTCTTTGTAGAAATTATCAAACAAGCTTCCTATTAATGAATGTTAAAAAAATCAGTTTTACAGTACTTCACTCTTTGGTTGGTTTAGAGAACTCGCACAGTTTTTGTTAACAAATCAGATGAAAAAACTTCCGTCATTGAGAGCCTCGTTCATTTCATTAATCAATTTGATTTCTCATCAGCTGTTCGTATTGTTGATCTCTTTTCTGATTGGCTTTTGCGAATACGTTTGTTTTAGTATAGCGGCACTCAGTACAAAAGGGCTTTAAGTACACATGTAGGAAATCACCTGTTGTGGTCTGGCTGCTCAATTCTCTATATAAGGAAATGGCAACGTTAATACCTGGATACGAGTTCTGTTATCAAAGCAGGCGTGATGAAAAAGACATGAGTCGTTCATCTCGATCCAAAATCACGAGATATCAACCGATTTTTGGTGAATTTAACAAAACCGAAACATAATCTTGTGTCGGTAACCTTAAAAAAAATATTTCATGAAACGCAAATTAAAAAAGAAGAGCGCTGCTCAGGTACAAAGTGCGAATTATCCTGTTGTTTTTGTTTTTAACGTATATTCCAATATTCTTTTTATTTTTTAACCCTTTCACTCCCAAGATCTCATCAGCAATTCTCCTTACTGTATGCCATAGAATTCTCATGATGATAGTTTGGAGAATTTGGTTTTGGATCAACTAATAATCCTTAACTCACAGTTGAGGCTCAGTTTATTAGTATTCCTCTCTGCAGTCTTAGGTCTACTGACACAGGTAGACCACACAGTGTGGTCTTCCTGTGGTGTTATAAGGGTGACTGAAAAATGAAGTCTAAATCTTCTGAGACACCCGTGTTTGTTGATGTATTAATACACAGGGGCTCATTACTTTAGATGCAATTGGGCTTATGCATTCGATAATCACTCTTATCCTCTTTGCCTTCCATTTCTTGCGGACGGTTAATTTAAGAACGGCAAATTTGTCCAGCGGCTCAGGACGACGATTACTTATTTCCACTAAGAACGGCAACACGAAATATGGAAGTTTCTAGACGCTGATGTCAAATTATCAAACTAAAAGAGTCTCTTTGGCTATAAAACTTGTATAGAAAAAGTGAGAACTGAGTGCCCAAACTTATTTGGTTTGAGACAGGTTTTGTCGATCATGAGGTGAAACTTTATCCACGAGGAAATGGTTGACAAGTTATTTGACTACTACATGTTTACATGTGACTACTTAAATGGATCGTGAGTTTTTTAAGCGGTCAACCAAACGTGGAGCGTCATGGAACAAAACAGCGATCAAATAATATTACTTGATAACAAAACCGAGCGAGAAACATCACTGAAAAGTTCCAATACTACTGCGAAAGAAAGAATTATAGCGTGCGTGTACATTTGCACTGTCTTCGCCGCAGTCGGTAGTTTTGTAATGGGTGATAACTTGGCTGTCGTTTCTGAAGCAATGATCCTTATAAAGGAAGAGTTTCATTTGTCTTCATTTTGGCAAGAGCTCATCGTAAGTGTCGCAATAGGTACAGCTGTAATAGGAGCTCCGCTCGGAGGATTTCTGAATCAACGACTTGGGAGAAAACCAATGCTTTTAACTTGTGCAATGGTGTTTACGATTGGAGCCGTGGTCGAGGCAGTTGCTACATCGAGAAATGTTTTACTCATTGGTAGGCTTATTGTCGGTTTTGGAATAGGTAAGTTAAAAACAAAAATGATTTAGTAAGCTTAAGAACCCAGAAGGGTGGTAAATAATACCATGAGAAATCGTTGGTCTTCCAATCTATTTTTTTCTTTTTTTTTTGATCTCGAAATCCCGCCAGCCTTTACTGTAAGAAGTTGGATCTTGATCACTCCCTTTCTCGGGGGTCGAAGGGTCACGCAACCAGGTGTCCCATTCCGGAATAAGTCAAAATACATTTTTGCCTGTAAAAACTCCACTCAGAAAACAAAGAGGAAAATGAGAAATAGATCAAATTAATTTGCATTTGTATTGATATGAAAATGCCTCTTTAAGAGTTTCTTTTTCTCTGATTGTCCAAAGACGGAGTGTCTGTTACAGTCCCAGTGTACATTGCGGAAACTGCACCATCGAATATAAGAGGTCGTCTAGCTACCGTCTACAATCTATTTATGGCGGGAGCCCAATTTGTCGCAGCTGTTATTGACGGCATCTTTAGCCCTTACAAGAAGACCGGATGGAGGTAAAGAGATATCGTATAACTTCTAAGTTTAGTGCCTCATTCTGCAAACATTATGGGTTATGGAAAGTAAGTGAGATCGCCATGTTATGTTATTTTTACCCCCACCCATTTAATTTCGTACCCAGATCCTTTCGTGTAACTGTGATTTAATTGTTTGGCCGTGAAAGGTCTGGACGTGAGGTTACTACCCGCGCACCCATATTCGATAATGCAATGCCGTGGATGAAAATAACAACAACACAGCACACTTGTAAACTTGTAAACTCGTAAACTACTAACCCATAGAGAGGAGTGTGTTTCGTAAGGAGTCCAACCAACGGTTGTCAAGGAGATTTAACGGTATCGCCAAACACAACGGTCAAACATCTGCGCATGTACGAATGTGAATAAGCCCAAAACAAAACAGATAAGGTTGCCGTTTTTCGAGGAAGTTTCCTCCGAGACTCTTTCGTCACATATCTCACTCAACAAATAAAATATTGTGGTAACAAGTGTTAATTTAGTGACTGAAGTTGAACAGCCGTAACATGGTTACCTATTAACCATCTCCGAGACATGTCGTATTAAATCTATTTTCCCTTCCACAGATTCATGTTTGGTTTAGCTGCAGTCCTGTCGGTCAGCATGTTCTAGGGTTGTCTGTGGCTTCCAGAAAGTCCCAGTTGGCTGGTTAGCCGGGGCGCTCGTGAACGTGCGAGGAAAGTTCTTGTAAGACTTCGAGGAACGACAGATGTTGCCGAAGAGCTGCAAGCTATACAGACCGTCTGTAACGAAGAAGAATCCTATGATAAGAAAAGTAAGATCCTAAAAAATGTAAGGGTTGAGGTACTGACGGACACTTTTACGCGAAGCATAGTCTCGTGCCCAGTCCTTCCACGGCTATGTGGTTGTAAGGATCATACATTCTAGTTACCAGGTAGAATCTGGGCACGAGGTCAATCAAGAAATAGGTTCATGTGACATCATGTTATACAAGGTAGCTCTATCTTGACGGTTTATGGGTCAAACTTCACGCATGGAATGTGACCATTCAAATGAAAGGAAATATTTATTGTCGTATCATTCCGATCAAATATAATTGTTTTTAGGCAAACTTTATGAGATGTTGACCACTTCAAGTACCAGGAAAGCTCTCTTGGTTGGCTTTATGCTGCTAACGATACAACAGCTGTCGGGGATTAAGTCTGTTATGTAAGTGAAAACGTTTTATTAACCATGCAAGTTGAATTAAAAGCTCGGAATAATGATCATCGGCAGAAAACATGCATAGTTTTAATATGGGCTGACAAACAGAGGCCCTTGCACGGGGGAATATGAATATGAATATAGTTTATATCTGACCACTTGCAGCCCAGAGGCTGAATTACGGGTGCAGTGTAAGGTTGAGAACAGACGTCAGCATATCAGGCGCCTCTGGCAGCCGCTTCAGTCTATCGATCTCACCTTCCCACCCATCCCACCCCAGGGGAGGACATCCATCACACAGTAATCTCGTGTGTGGGAAATTAACGTCTCCTACCCCAACCCTGCAGGAGACGGGACCTCCATTTATTCGTCCCTATCCGAGAAGACTAGAATATCTAACCATTTCTTGATGTTATAGAAAGGTAGCAAATTCTTCTCAATTATTTTAAGACCTTGAGTGTTGGTCCGGCCGGGGCTCGAACCCTCGACCTCCCGCACAACAATCCAGCGCTCTATCCATTGAGCTAACCGGAAGGGGTACTTGGGTCAGATTTTAGTGCCGCTGGCCTCTCAGAATTCCAAGCCTATTATTGGGAGTCTCAGCGGCAATAACCTTAAGCCGTAAAACGGCCAAAAATCTAGCCCTGAGGCGTAAAATTTGACAAAATTTTACTGTTGGTCGTACAAAAAGTTAACAGTTAAAAACTTTTCTTAAATCGCAACGGAATCAAACTAATTGTTAGCCGTAAAATGGTCAAAGTTTTAACCGTTAGCCGTAAAAGCCATCACCCCACTGAGACCCTCATTGTATTCTATTCTGTGGCCAATAAGAGACCCCATCTTCATTACTTTTGTAACCATTTTGGTAACTTTATTGAAAATGCAACCCCCTTGTTGACAATCCAGTCGTGAAAACGCGACGCCATTTGGCGGCACATCGCTTTTATCGCGCAGTAAGTTATCTGTTCCTTTTTCCTTTTTTTTGGCATGAAACCGTATAACTGATGTCTAGTTTTTTTCTCGAACTTTGTCATAGTTTTGATTAATTGGTAACAGGACTTCGTGTCGTCCAATTTGGTCTAAAAACATACTCGTGATGAACAAATCGGACTCCCGCTTCACAGTCGTGCAATTTTGTTAATCACTCGTAGGATTACAGAC